CTTCAGCTCCCAGAATTCCCCAGCCAGCACGCCGGCTGGGGGATTCTGGGAGCTGAAGGCCACCCATCTTCCAGTTGCCACGGTTGAGAAACACCGGCTTAGGAGGTCACCAGAAAGGGTGAGTGAGGCAGCCGCTCAGGACAAATACCACAGACCTGAAACGCTGAGGGAAAACAGAACCACAAAATGAATTATTGATTTGATTGCACGTTCATCATGGTGCCTCAGAGCGCTCCATTTTTACCTTTTCATTCGGAATCTCACGTTTAGCTTGCTTTTAATGGGTCGCTGCACACGGAGCACGACAGGAGCGGCCCCCAGGCCCTCCATTTCAGAAGATCTCCGACCGCAGGGCCCCCAAAGGATTTTGCCAGGAATCTGGGGGAGCTGCGAGCGAAGTGGGCAAAGGGCCTGTGCCCCACATCCTGCTGGACTACCCTTGTGGAAGGGGCGCCTCCTTGTGACATGACCCCCATCGCACCCCCACCTGACGGCTCTCTCTCTGACCCTTGAAAGGAGCGTTTGCCCCCTTCTCCCGACACACAACCGGGACAGGGGCCTGCACAGTTCCACTTGGCCCCCCAGGTCATCTGCTGCAGAAATGCCCCTCCCCGTCTGGGCACTGGACGTTTTGGTTTGGTGGAAAAAGAAATCCGGGCACCGGATTCTTTTCTCTTTATGTTGGCAAGTGATCCATAGCTCTGGCAGCCAGGAATGTAGGCCTGTTTAATTCCTTGCTTGCTTGCTCATTTTGAGGTGGGAATATTGATACCCTGGCAGAGTTTCCGGAATTCTCTTGCTGGGGGTGCTCCTCTTATGTCTGTGAGTGCATGTGTGCAAGGAAAGTGCATCACGCGTGCATGCACAAATGCAGAAGGGTGTAGGAGACAGAAGAGGCACTGCCTGGCCCAGAACGATTTGCAAGGGAAACCGGCTTCTGGGGGCAGAAAGGAAGGACCGGCCGAGAGGTCCCTGGTCGGGGCTCCCCTGCTGTGTATTTCCAATCACCCAGGCAGATTTGGGGGGGCAGAAGCACGTTGATCTTTCATTTCCCCAACAGAAGTATTTCTATGAAATGATTTCACAGAGGCTGCCCAGGTTACTGCAGCTGGAATCAGACGTTGGAATTTGCCCCGCATTAAATGGTGTGCAGGCAGCCACCCTGCCCAGCCCCATTGCTGAGAGACGAGCAAGGCAGGCCACCAGGCAGCCCAGCCCCACGGATGTCAGCGTGCTTTCCTCCCAGCTGGAAAGCACATTAATGGGGCAGGAGGAAGAGCCCTAACGCGTAATTCTGCATTTAGGCCAGGGAATAAACCAATTCCGCCACTAGGAGCGAAGAGGCCTCCGTGGCAGACAAAAGCAGAGTCCCGCTGACCTCATCCTTCCCGCCAGAGCCATTGGTGAACAGGCGGGGGGGTTCCCTTGGCACAACGTGGCTGAGGAATCACTTCCTCAAGCGTCACGTGCAGCTCTTGACAGAAGAGCGGGCTTCCTGTAGCACTTCCCGGACTGACCGGTGGACATCACATGGTCTGCCCAGAAACTCTGGGAAGGAAGCAAACTCTTTGCCGAGGTTCAGCACTGCTGCAGGCAGAAACGTTAAATGAGGCTGGACGAGATCACTCGAGCCTGTCATACGTTTCCTAAAAATAATATCTCACCCCCATACACCCCTGTCAAACGAGCACTTTTTAACTTAACGTTTTAACCAAGAAAAAACATCGGTTTGTTAAACTGCTCGAAGAAAGCAGAATTTGGGGGATCTAGGACAGCTTCCTCCATTTATGTGGCATAGCTGCCAGGCGTGATCTTGCCCAAATGCCAAGCAGAACGTGTTGTCTGCAGGGTTCCCCTCTGCCCTCCGCCAGTTCAGGAGAGATGCAGTGCTTCAAAATGGGCAGAGCCTCTTTGACTCCCTGCCTGCACTTCAGATGGCTGGGATCGCAAGCTCCATCAGCCCCAGCCGCCAGACCCTCAAACCATGCTGGTTCAGGATGATGAGAGCTGAACCCTAGCATGCCGAGGGAGAGAAATGACCAGGTGACCCAGGTGAAGGCAGTTCCACCGTTTCCAACAGACTTTCTCCCTGTTTGCCCGTTTCCTCTTTGGATTGATTGGGAAGAATCCCTTCCTTCAGAAAACAGTAATAAGCTCCAGGCTCTCGTGGCTGACAGGAGAGTATCTGAACGGCCTAAAAGTTCAAGGAAACGTGCAGAACCACACTGCACCCCGCTCAGTGCCAGGATGCCCTCTTTACTGAGCCCCACTTTTACTTTTGAGAGCTCAGGCAGGGAGACTCTTTGCAACATGCTGGGATGCTCCTAGCCAGTTGGGGTGCCCGAGCGGGGTGTGCCCCCCTGCCTGCGTGCCTGTGAAGGGGGGGACTGGCCTGCTAGTCTTCCTTTGCGTGCCCCTCCCTCAGAGGCACAGCCCCCCAGCTTCTCTAGGGCGACCAAGGCCTTGTGGTTTATGAGTGGAGCATCACCCCTGCCCACGCCTTTCCCCGCTGCCAAGACCAGCCCGGTGGGTGCCAGGCTTCCTGTTAAAGGCAGAAATGACGCACCACTTCCTGCAACATGACTGCCAGACCCTGTGGCCTTTACAGCATGCGCTCTTTGCTCTGGCTTTGCAGGTGCGGTCAGTGCAAGGAGCTGCAGCCGTGCACAGTTGTGGATGGCCGTTGTCTGGCCTGCGAGGCAGGTTGGAATGGCACCAGATGTGACCAGATCTGCTCCCCGGGCTTCTATGGAGAGGGCTGTGAGCAGACCTGCCCTCCCTGCAAGGATGGCCACACCTGCAACCATATCAACGGCAAGTGTTCCCATTGCAATCCTGGCTGGATCGGAGACAGGTGAGTGCAGGCAGCCCTGATGGCCCCCAAGCACCGAATGTCCATGATAACATCTGTCCCTCTGATCCGTTGGCATCTCTTCCTTCTGCACCCTCCCTGTTACCAAGCATAAGACTTTTTCTACTCCGTCGTCCACTCACATGACATACTCAACATACATGAGTTTCTGGTTCTGGATTATCACTTCAAGGGATCACTCAGCCTTTATTTGACCCAGGATGAATTAATTGGTTCTTCTTGCAGAACCTGGTACTCCTAGTGTCCATTCCCAGATCCATAATTCAAAGGCACCACTCAGTGTCTAGCTTTCCCAGGTATGCATTTACTGGAAGGGCAGGGAAACCCCGACTGGACTCCTGTTTGGCTACAGAACTCATTAGGTGACCATCAGCCCGTTGTTCTTCCCCAGCCCGAAACTCCCTGGTGTGTTTGTTGTAAGAGTAAAGTGGTTGTGGGGAAGAGAGAGAGCTCCCTTTATTCTACAGCACAGGTGAGGAAGCGTGGCCTTCCTGAACCGCATTTCTTGGCATCCTCATGCATGTCGTCTGGGGCTGCTAGGAACTGTGGTTCAGCAACATCTGGAGGGCCTCTCTGGTTCTTGGCATCCTTGAGAAAAAGATGAAAGACCCCCAGAGAAAATACTGGTGACCAATTACAAAATAGCTTCCATCCTTCACAGAAGTTCCCGGGGAATTGCTTGATGATCTTTCCTGAAGGGTTGTTCATTTTCCCAGGTAGAGAGTTGTGGAATATTTTTGCACTCTTAATTTTGCTGTGATTTTATCTGCCGTCATTAGATTAAGGAGTGGGATCATCACCGTTCGTTTTTAACTCCAGGGGCATCCACAGGGAGGGGGGTATCAGCAAAGTTGAGGTGGTGGGTGCCACTGCGTAATCAAAGACCTGCCCCTTTTTTACATGCATTATGTGGGTAATATGTATAAAAGGGGGCACGGCTTCAATTGCACAGTTGGGACCGGCATCTTAATTTTTTTGATTACCACCCCCTCTGCAGGTGCCCCTGTTTATTTCTATTATTCCATTGTGTTAACTGCTGTATGTAGACATGTTCTAACTGGGAATTGCCCTGAAAACTGTGGTTCTCAGGAGGTGCAAACAAACATTAGCTGCTGTCTGGAGGCTTCGTCCTGCCTGTCAGTCTTTAGGCTAGGCCATAGCCCCCAACCCAGCCCAGGAGATGTCTGGTGTAATTTTCCACACCCCAGACATATAGGCCCTGCTGTTTGGCTGGATCAAAAGATGCCCGGTGCTCCCTATAGCCAGGACCCCAAAGTAAACCACTGAACCTCCAGATAGACGGAGCCGTCCCTCCGCTGCCATTGCACTGTTTTGCCTTCTCCAGGTGTGAGACCAAATGTCGCAATGGGACGTACGGGGAGAACTGTGCTTTTGTCTGCACCAGCTGTTTCAACGGGGCGTGCCACTTCGAGACCGGGAGGTGCCTCTGCCGGGCCGGGTTCCACGGGACATTGTAAGTGACTGGCACGCGGGAAGAGTCAAATCACCCTTCTTCCTCTGGGCAAGGCAATCTGAAAGACATCTGTGGGATTGCTTGCTAAAGCAGAGCAAAATTGAATGTACACTTTTTTTAAGAACTCTGTAGACCAGTGTTTCTCAACCTTGGCAACTCGAAGACATGTGGACTTCAACTCCCAGAATTCCCCGGCCAGCACGAGCACCCTGTTTCCTGTTGGGTCCTCCTTGCTAATGATCTGTGTTTAGAGATTAGCCTAATTTAGTTAAATAAGCAGACAAGTGTCTAGGTGAGACCGTTTTAAACACTTTACACATGTCTTATTCATGCATCCTCATATATAAAAGTAAGGCATCGTTTCTCAACCTCAGCAGCTTTAAGCTGTGTGGACTTCAGCTCCCAGAATTCCCCAGCCAGCCTGCTTCCGTTGGTTCCACGTTAGATTTACGACCAGCTCCTTTTCGTTCAGAGTCAGCGACGGTCAGCGCCTGAGCAGGCCCCCTTTGCAGAGCAGGACCGGATCTTACATGGGGTTTGAAATATTTTTAAGGGGTAAATGGCGTGTCCCCAGCCTTGCAAAGGGTGGCTGCATCCACCTCACTTCTTTAAGAAAATGATTTCTTCAGTTTCTTGCTGGCTAAGGACAAAATGAACTCTCTTCCCCCCAAAAGAGAAACCGGGTGAAAATTATGATCCTACCCACTCTTAAAAATGAGTAGCCTTTTTTAAAAAAAATAAAGTCACACCTCCTGGCCACCAGAAAGTTGGTCCACCTGTGGCTGAATTGAGAAGCACAAGCTTTTCGATTCCTGCTTTGCCACATCTGCCTGAACATTTCCGGTATTTGATGTGGGTTGTGCTAACTGTACCAAACCGGGGGAGACACTCTGGTAGATTATCCTGGCTTAATTCTTTAGCTTTAGCAGAGAAATGACATCCTGTGGTGTGGCTTCAGCACATTAGTCACAGCATGCTTATTCAGGACAAAGCTTGTATTTATTTTCCTATTTTTTCAACAAATTCTTGCTGTGTTTTCAGCAAAGGAAGCTGATTTCTGCCTCAGAGTGAAGGGGAGATCTTCCTACCCACCCACTTTCCCTCTTCTGTTATATAAGCAGCACAAACTTCTTGCAAGTTTAGGCTTCTCTTATTTAATGTTGTAAGTGTTTTCTTCAAGAACTGCTTTCCCAAACTGGTGCAAGTGGGGACTACTACAGTTTGCATAATCTCCAGCCAGGCTGCAGAATGCTAATCAGCTCCAACCAGTTTTTACTAACCTTCTAAAAAGAGATCATTGTGCAAATCTGAAAAAAAAAATCCCTGCAGCCCCAAATCTTTTTTTGCAGTTCCCGGAGCCACCTTGGGCCACAATTGCTGAAAAGTGTCAGTTCCTGTGTTTGCAAGAATGATGGGAACAGTATCTCAGTTCCCTATACAGCTAACAGCAAAGCAGTCCTGAACATTGTTCTCACACTGGAGGATATGCAGTTGTGAGAAATATCCCTTAATTGGCCCTTGGACACCATTAAGCATCTCTAATCAATCTCCAAAGCCATTTGGAGCATTTTCCAAATGTGTCCCTTCCTTCCTTCCTTCCTTCCTTCCTTCCTTCCTTCCTTCCTTCCTTCCTTCCTTCCTTCCTCCTCCTTCCTCTTCCTCCCTCCCTCCTCCCCTTCCTCCCCCTCCTTCCTTCCTTCCTTCCTTTCTTCCTTCCTTCCTTCCATTCATCCATCCATCCATCCATCCATCCATCCATCCATCCATCCATCTATCTCTTTCTTTCACCCCATGTCTCATCCTCTTTCCCTTCCCTTCTTCCTTTTTTCTGTTTCCTTCCTTCCTCTAGCACAACTTTTGCTGATTTCCAGAAACTTCTGTATAACAGTTCCACACATTTGTAAATCAGGTTGTGCGGGGAGAGAGACATCTGGATTTTCTTCCTTGGGAACCCAGATGCTTTGGCACGTGTCACCTACATTATTCCTGGCAAAAGACTTTGCCAGCAGATGGAAGGAAAGCCCTGTGACACACTAAAAATAAGTTTGGTGGAGAGTTACTCATTTTGGTTTCTGGTGGATCAGTGTGCTATTCCCGGTCAGCGGGGAAAGACTGCCTGGGTTGGTTTGTGCCATCAGAAAAGCTGAAGGTTGGCTTAGGAGTTCTAGGCTACCATCACCAACCTCAACACAGCTGTGGCACTGAGAAGAGTAAAGTTTGTGTCAGCCCTCCCAAGGTTATTCTCATAGCCCATTACAGGTTGCCAGGTTGGCAGCATGATTATTATGGGTGCCAGGGAGCCTACAGCACACTGTGAGCATGTCCGCAGGACATAGCTTTCAAATATGTACTTTGAAAAAAAAAAACATAAAATAGCTGAAACCTCACGAGATCGCTGAACCTTCAAGAACTCAGTGTTCTTGCCTGAAACCATCAAAATGCAAAAATATTAAAATGAAGAATTCTGAAGAACTGCAAAATATCAAAGAGTCTTAAAATTGAAAACAGCACAGCAGGCAGGAAGCGTGTTCCTTTGTGAGCTGGCCAGTTTGCAGCTGCTGTGAAAAGCCAGGCAGCCCTTGGGCCAACCAGCACGTGGCCCTGAGGAGGCCAGGATCCGAGCCAAGGAAACAGCTTTGGATGTGCAAGAGGCGTCCACATTCCTGGGAAGATCGGATGGCAAGAAAGCTGCCTTTTCGGGCCAAGCCTCCTCCCGTTGCTGCTGCTCTAGGGCGAGCCCCCTCCAACCATTTTGGACCCTGGCTCATCTTTTCAGGCTTAGCTCACGTGATTGCTGAAAATCCTCAGCCGGCCTCTCCTTTGGGTCTGATGCAGCTTTCATGATGGATCTAGAGTTGCCCTCCCTACGAAACGGACTGCCACCATGAGGCTGCTTGACCCATGCCCGGGCTAGTGAGTGGCGGGTGCAGCCTTTCGTAGGAGCGCAGACCCTTGAGACAGCTAGCTCGGCATGGGGTGGCCGGCAGAGCACCCGTCCGTAAGTTGGGCGCATCCTCCATGGTGGATTAGGGAACCGTAGGCAAAGCTGACCCAAGATGTAGCTCTGTGGGTCAGAGGAGCACGACCTTGTGATCACGGGCCATGCTTTTTCTTTAAAAAATTGCCCATTTGGGAGGGAAAACGGATGCTGCGTGCCTTTAAGGCTTACCTGTTTTTCACTTTAAAAAAAACCCAATGGGGAAAATCACCCCCTTTCAAGAATACAGGGCAGTGAGTTGGGTATCTTCAGCCTTGCAGTCACCCATTTGGCCCCTTCAGCTCCTCCAGGGCCCCCATGGGCTCTGGGGATGCTAGATAAGCCCAGGCAGGTTTGGCTGCGTCCTGCGCTTGGCCAACACGCTGGATTCAAAGCCACCCATGGTTGACGTGCGATTTGGAGGGAGACTTTAACAGCCATTAAAGGGTTAAGGCCCAGGGATGTCTGAGAGAGGGGTCAAAGAAGTCAAGATGGAGGCCACGACCCTGGGACTGAAGCCCCATCCCTCTTACGATGCACCTTAGAAAGGAGCAGGGCTCTGATGGTGCCACTGCAGTTGCCAGCTGGACTCTTGGCACTCATGCCCTGAGGACGCCTCTGCTTGGGGCTCGGCATGGGGCCAGCCATAGTTTTGTGGTTGTGGGCTGCGTCGTTTCTTCCAGCCTCCAAGGACCCCAATTGTGAGACTGGGGTGGTACCGCAAGGGCACTGAATAAACAGGGCCCGAAATGTTGATTCTCCCCGATGCATTTCTTTGTTTTTAGTAACATGGGTGCAATAAGCCTTCTGGAAGTTTCACACATCTATTCTAAGACTTATTTAAAATAAGTGAAAACTTGTGCCACTGAATCTTGGCAATGCAATCTTATTTATTAATTAAAAAGGTTTATATAGCTGTCCATCATAAAACAACTCTGGGTGGCTTACGACCAATAAAACAGTATAAAACCAGTATAAAACAATATAAAAACCCACAACAATAAAAATAAAAACAGAATCTTGGGACGCCAGGAGTGACGTTCTCTGTAAGCCAGAGAAACAGACGTGCAAGATAAAATGCCTTTTCTTTCTCAAAAAAAACGCATAACCCACTTTATATTTATCAGCTCCCAACATTACAAAGACAAATGAGAAGCTGCATATTTTTTTCAATGGAAAATACAATTGTACTGTAGAATTTACGTAATTCAGAAGTAATTAAAATAGGAATACCTGCGTTCAATACTATTTAGGATTCTTTCTCTTTGCCTGCATCTTTTTTATCCCTTGGCCACTGCTCCATCCCTCTTTCGGCGCCCCCCTCTCTCTCCTTCCTTTGTGGGAGCATCATTGCCACGCGCAGGAGGCTGACTCTGGTGCATGTGGCCCTACAG